CAATCAACATGATGACTGACCAAAAGTGAATGAACGACAGATGCGCCTCAAAGTCTGGGGGCATCGGACTTTGTAGCAAAAATAGAAAACATTGTGGGCAATATCTGTCAATCATTCCTCTGATTTGAAGCCGATGTTTATATTTCTAGTTACAACTTCTGTAAATTTGAAAACAAAGTGTGTAACCCATTGTAGTAAGTTATCAACATCTAGCACTACTTCAGTGCCTGTAATTGCTGTAAAAAGACCATTTGAGCTGTAACCTTGCATAAAACAGACGTTAAAAGACAATACAAATTTTCTACAAACTTATCTGTCTTATCTTATTTTCAACAAATAATATCAAAGGATACTTATAAAGAAAACCATTTTTTTAGTTTCATCTAGAATATCCAAATTAACGCCTACTAATTCTTGACAGTATTGTTTGTATGTTGTAAATAAATCACTAGATTTCAATAGTTTATAATCCACTCCAGTACCATCTTTATCCATGAATTCTGCTCTCATTCTGTAAAAAAACAAACAAAACACACAATTTAGACAAAGTGATGTATTAAATTTCCAGAACCCAATCTTTAACATGGTACAGTCATTGTGATGCATAGTACAGTCGTTGTGATGCATGGTACAGTTGATACGATGCATTGTACAGTTGATGTGATGTGTGGTACAGTTGATGTGATGTGTGGTACAGTTGGTGTGATGTGTGGTACAGTTGGTGTGATCCATTCTTTTTAATAATTGAGAAGCAAAAATTCATCATTCCTCATATGTGTAGAGGCTCTAATAGAAGCCACATCCCCTCTGGTGCATTGTACCATTTTAATAGAAGCTGCGGTTTCTAATACAGATTTTCCAGTATATACAATGCATATCAAATACTTTGTTCGTTCACACAAAATTCAAACACACACAGCATACGACTGTACTAATTTGGGATAAACATTTTCAGTCACTCAAAAAAATTCACGATTTGATAACACGGCTACATAAATTTTTTTATTTTCATAGTCTGACGAAATTCACATCAGTTTGCCCCTTACTTACTGACTGTATGTTATCTCATGTGTGAAGACTGCTTTATTATCCAAGTTTACAAAGAATTTGTAAGCACTGTTTTCTGTTATGCTTGACCGACTCTCAATGAGTTGAAACTTGTCTTTGTAGCAGTGACACAGTTATCAAGTTTGCAGATACACTGTACCTGTATTGTATAGTGCCATTTTTATTTATTTACATATTTCATTTTCTTATATTTATATATTCATTTGTAGAGTTGAATAATTCACCACTTGGGGCGTTTAATCTGAACATCAGATCTATGTAATAACTTATAATTAATCAACTCTATGTACAAATTGGAGTTTGTCCTTGTACATATAGTATTAAGATTTATAACCCCACAATTAAAATAGCTCTGTTGTCCCAGTAAAGTTTTTACAGCAGTATATACAAGTGCACAAGACAATACGCAATATCCAAATAGGTGGAGGTTTACCCAAGTACTTTAAAATATCTCAGTGTTTGTTAATTAACAAATTAATTAGAGCCCTGCATTCACACATTAAAATATGTCTTTTAGGTTAAAAAAAGATTTCTGGGCAGTGTGTTTCAAAGGTGGATGAAGAGAGAAGGAGTCTTGCCAATATAGTGAAGAAAAACAGTGTCACCAAACTATTTTTTTGACATCCTCAGACCAGAAATGAATTTTCTTATATTTTGATGAAAAAAAAAAGACAGAATACTGTAAAACTATTTATTTTCACTGGCATTTCACTATTTTGATGTTTGAGCCTGCTCACTGGGTTTAAAGTTCACAAATAAACATCTGCAGATGTAGATAATATGATGAAATTACTAAACTATACTTTGATAAGAATTGAATTTAGAACTAGATTGTAATACAAAGTTGCTTTGTGTCCATGAATGTGTTTACTGGACTTTTTGAATGTTTAAATGGGATAATTGAAAAAGGAAAGCAAGAAAGAGAAGCCATTCCCTCATATACATAATATCATTTATTAATTAAGATTTTCAGTAAATTTTGAAACAAAATTAACTACTGACAAAGGGAGCATAAAACTTGATGCATCAAACTTTGATT